TATTTAATATTTTATTAAGAAATTAACACTTTTTTTTTAACTTCGCAGGCAAATTTGCCTGCTCTACAGTCTAAGGGTAATAATAAGGCTGATTCTTTAGCAAAACAGGATTATCAACTTGCTCCTCTTATCTTAAATATTACTTCAACAGAGGTTATTAGACTAGTTCTATCATTTAAGAAAGTTCCTATTAAATCTTCCTTCAGAAAATTTTGGAAAAATCTTTATGCTGCCTCATAGTTCTCCAAATATTTAGAACTAAATAGAAATTGTTCTATTAAACATCAAACCTATAATAATGAAATATTCTGGTCTTCAACTTTCTTTTATTTGGCTGACAATGATGATAGAAATAAATCCTCTACTTTTTTCATACAACAAAGTAAAAAAGCTTTCAAAATCAAACTTTTTGCTGAAGAATTACCCACACTATTAAAATTGGAAATCTAACGCTCAGATATTTATAAGGGCTGAAATTGTGCTCTTTATAATACAACTTCTGAAACTGCTGATCACTTATGGACTTGCCCTTCCAATAAGGATAAATGATCAATATTTTTGCAGATTTATAGATTATGCTGATAAGCTAATCTTTCTAAAATTGATAATAATTGATTACACTCATATTTTTTGATCAAACAACAATTTTTGGAATCATTTAATTTTTTCTCAAATCCAATTAAATTTATCCAACTAGTAAAAAGTTTTATTCCTAGATCTTTAGTTAATCACCTTAGATCTTTTTTTTCCAATCACTTGTGGACCAAGTTTTGATTAATATCTTAGGTAAATTAAATGACTTTATCTATGAAATGATTTGGATATCTCATTGTAAAGCCATAGTCATTAAAGAACAATCTCTTAGTATTAGAGTTAAATTAAAGAAAAAGAAAGTAAAGTATAAAGTCAATGGCTGATCTCCTCTTAAACTAAAGAAAACTTTTGTTGATAATTAGAAAATTGGCTTAATTTGGCTCTTAAATTTGGTTATTTCTAGTATGACTTCTTGGGACAGTGCGGATATATTTATTTAGATTTTTATTATTCATATTTTTCTTGAGAATTTTCTTTTGAAAGATACTGAGGGAGAATTTTGGTAATTGGTCGATCTAAATGGGTTTGAAATACAAGGGATAGTAGTCTTTATTTTTATATTTACTTTTTTATTTTTTAATTTAGTTATTATTGTAAAATTTTTTTAATAAAGTATTAACAGTATCACATCTTTAAAAAAAAAAAAAAAAAGTATCAAAAAAAAAAATGATTTTGACTATTTTAATCATTTCAATTTCATGTATAGATATAATACATTATAACAAAATTATTCTTTTAATTATATAATAAAAAATTTAATGTTCACTTAGAAGTTAAAAATTTGTAATTTTTAAAAAAAAATATATTAAATAATTTTATAATTAATCTATGATAAACTTTTTAAAATTTACCTTTAATTATATTAATCATAATAGAATATTATAAAATTACTTATTAAAGAAACTTTTATTCTTATAATTTTTATAATTTTTTAAGAAATTTTAAGATTTTAATTAATGATAAAGTGATTCAATTAGTATGTAAGCTTATAAAATTTTAAAGTAGTAGGCAAATTTGCTTGCGAAATTAATAAAAATGGTAATTTCTTTATAAAATATTAAATATTAATTCTAGTAATATCATTATTTTTTTAAAAATTCTTTAAAAATTTATATGTTGTGTACTAATTGAATCACTTTATCATTATAAAATTTCTCAATAAATTATAAAAATTATAATAATAAAAGTATTTATTTATAAGTAATTTTATAACATAAGAAATTTACTAGAAAAATAAGATTTTGAGTATTTTTTATTAAAATTTTAATTTTTATTGTATTTTAAAATTTTTGATAATATTAGATTAAAATGCAATAAAATTAAAATTTTAATAAAAAATGCTTAGATCCCATTTTTCAAGAAAATCTCCTATATAGTTAAAAGTAAATTCTAAAAAGTTTATCATAAATTAATCATAAAATTTTTTAATATAAATATTTTTAAAATTACAAATTTTTAGCTTTTAAGTAATATTAAATTTTTTACTAATTAAATTTTTTATTATATAATTAAAGATAAAACTTGTTATATATTTATAAAAATAATATAAAAAAATTTTTTTTAAAAAAAATTAATTATTTATAAAAGTAAATCAGAAGAAAATTTATAGTAAATAAGTAGATAAATTTGCTTACAAAATCTTACAATTTAAGGAATAATATAATAAAAAATAATTTTTTATTTAATGATTACAAACTTCTTTATTATAAAAGATCTATATATAGTAGTGTTCATTAAATAAATATATATAAATTTGATTATAAATAAATTTTAATATATATAAAATTTAAATATAATAAATATTTAATTTTCTTTCAAAATATCAAAAATTGTTTAAATAAAATTATTTAATTTATTTTAAATTATAAATAATTATATGTTATCTATAATAATTAAATCATCTATAAATTAATAAAATATATAAGTATATTAAATTAATTATTTAAAAAATTTTATTTATAATTTTAGAAGTTATTACCAATACTTTGACTATTTTCTTCATTTAAAATATTATTTTGATTTAATATTACATTTAATCTTTCAGTAAAATCAAGTAAACGACTTGTATGATATGCTTGTGAATGAGATTCTATAAAAACTTTATTAGTATATTTATTTTGTTCTTGATTTAATACTTTATCTGATTTATAAAACTCTATAATATTATCTATCAAATTTTTATCAAAATTTTTAGTAATAATAATTTTATACCAACTTTCAATAAATTTTTTAATTTCTAATGCAGTTGGTCTTTTCAATAAATCCATATCCCAACATTTTTTCATTAAATTTATATAACATTATGGAATATTTTTAATCTTATTAGGATGTTTACCTTTACAAATATCTAAACTGAGTTGAAAATCATGAGCTTCATTATCAAATAGAGAAATTCCAGATATAAATTCCCACATAAAAGATTATAATTCCATTGTGGTTTGGGATTTTTAAGATGACAGCTTATTGAAGCAACAGCATTTTTCAAGGAAGCTCTTGAGTATTTTTTGCCTTTTGTTGTTCTCACACCATATATAAATTCACACATTTCATTTTCTATTTGTTCATTAGAGAAAAGTGATTCTA